AGAAGGAGGCGGCAGGACATCCGCCCTGGAGGCTCGTGGACACTAGGTGCTGCTTCCAGCTCCACTGCTCCTTACTCCAGGTTCACTCAGGAGGGAGAAGGGTAGCGGAAGACAACAGAGTTCAGTGAAGCATTACCATATGAATGATTTAGAAGACTGATCTTCCACCTAGATGGCAGATTCAACGTGATTTTGCCTTGATGGGACAACAGGAAAACATGTCTAAGACCAGAGGGTCTTCAGCTTTGACCATCACCATGATGGAAAAGCAGAAGAACCCATATACATACACTAAAGGAACTGCTGTGTTCAGGCACAAGCATGAATCCTCAGTAAGCTGGCAGTAAGTTTCACCTTTTCTTGGGTTCTTTACAGAGGGAATTTCTGTCTAGGCCATAGATTAGGCAAGACCTCAGCATTTCCTGGCATTAGCAATGTCAAGAATCGGTGGTGTCAGTGTTGCATTTCAGTGGCAGGGCCAGAGCCCTTCATACCCTGGAGAGGACTGCGGACTCCTTCATCAGCCCTCTCTCCAGATCTGAGAGACAGCTTCTGTATTTCATCTTCGACTATGTTCTGCTACCATTTTGAAGACCCAGATCCCGTAAAACACTCCTACCCTGTGCAGCCTTTCACATGTTTTGCTATCTCAGGGCTTTACTCTTGGAGAATCTCTTTCCAGTGTAGTCACAGCACTTGACAAGAGGCTTAAGCCACCCCCACACCACCCAGAAAAGGCCACATAACTCAGAACAGCTGGACATAAGACCACTCCAATGCTTCATGCAGCACTGACAAAGGGATGTTCTACCACTCCAACAACCCCAAGCCAGCACAGCACACAGTCCAAGCCCATGTGGCCACCCCAATCTGGTAAGAGTTCTTGCGTCACAAAGAACAACGGCACCAGACACGTGCCAATGCCGTGCAGCAAGAACACAGCCCATCGCAGTGCCATTAGATTTCCCCAACAGACACGAAGTGCCTTGTTTGTGCTGGCATTTTCCCACAGCACCTAGCTGAAACAGCTTGCACTGAACACAGTGGCTGCCAGGCCAAAATTAACTGAGGGAGAGGGGGGCTGCTACCGCTGACAGGGCTTCCAGCCTTGCCTGAAGAGTTTGTCCCCTTCCTCTACTTCCAGGACTGCTGCTGCTACTTCTTGAGTCAGACCGCAGAAGTATTCTGGGGTAAAAACTAATTCTCCAGTATGAGGTTAGATCATTTTCCAGCTGCAACAGCTCTGCAATAGCACACAGCACAATCCAGGTACCACCACTGACCTGTCCATGCAATAGAGCAACATCAGGTCATCTTTAAACTCGGACAATCTGGGTAGTATTACCCAGCAGTGTGACACTGAGACTCCCCACCCCAACCCCTCCCCCTGCTTTTATTCATGTTTTCCTCTACCCCAGATCTCCCCGGTGTGAACGGGCACACTCTCAGGACAGTAATGGCTGTTGGTACTGCACAGTTCTCTCTGACGTAACACAGTGATTCTGATGAAAATCCGGTATTGCCAACATCCAGCTTTGACAGAGAAAACACAACTCATTTGTTTAGCAATTACAACAATTTGCTATTTGGTACAGACTTACTGCTGAGATCTCTAAAATGGGCTGAGCAGCTTAAAATGTGACCTGTCGTCATGGCAGGTACCATCCACGGGAGGGAGCAATGGCGGAGAAAACAGCCCGTCCAGCCCCGGCGGCGTTGCTTCACCCAGAAGGGAGGGAACAGTGGTGGGAGGTGCTGGAGTCAACATCAGCAGCGTTCAGAGCTGCACACCCCACTACTCCCCAAGCTCACAAACCACCTCTGCAGTGGGACGCGAGTGACTGTCCCTATTAGCCTGATGCCATACAGGTCACAGCCACAGTTGCATCAGGTGGAGGGACCCTTCACTTGCACAGCCCTAAGAACAGTGTATCAGGAACACCAGGACCACAACAGTTTCTGTAAAGATGTAATGAAATTACAGAAAAAGTCTCAGTTCAGAGTACACTGGGATTCCTTGGCTTCTAGTTACTGGAGAAGATGCAGTTTCCACTGTAGATTTTTATTGAGTTTTGGTGGAATAAGTAATTCTGGATCTGAAAGGCAAACAGGACAAGTGTCAGAACAGGGTAACAGCAGTATGGTTTCTTCAGGAGCTGTAAACTACTTAGTCTACTTTTATATACATCGAACGACACTGAGAAGTCTTTAACACACAGCATTTCTCTTTAGTGACTGGTCACCAGCCTGCACGGAAGAGTGCCCCCGGCAGAACTGCTTACAGAACTAAGTCTCTGGGGCAAATGAAGTCCCCTCTCCATTAAGCATTATTGTTCAGAACGAGAAAGCAATAATCAATGGCAGAAAGCAGAACTCTGTTCATCCACCAACAACCAGGACTTCATACACAACAGCCAGCTGGCTCTGTTAAGGGTGAGTAAGAGGCACATGGTCTTCTCTGGAGCCACCCCTGGCAAGGGGCAATAGGCAGGCCGCATGTACAGGTTTATTAAGAGGATTTATCCAGGCAATTCCAAGACTAGTAGGGGAAAAGACTGTAGGACTAGAGGAGAAGAGCGAAGACAGAGGGGAGATGGGACCAGACCTTGCTATGTCTCTCAGCCCTAAGTTTGTATTAGCTGCAAAGACTGCAAGATGGCAGAGCACCACGACAGACTGTAGCCTGGTCTGGTGAAGAGCCTGGCCTCGCTGCCAAAGCCAGATAAGAAAATTCAGCGGGTGAGTTGCAAGTAGAATTATCTAATACATTCCCTAAGAAATCAGACTTCCAATTCCCTCACAACAGACAGACGCTACGCACACAGGAAGCCACGGGCACAATTCAGACAGTAGTTTTAGCACAGGACTTCAGACCAAACAAAACCTTATTAAGCAGGCTGCTCACTTGCCACAAGGTGGGAGGGTACACCAAACAAGAAAAGCAACAATCTCCTACAACTGAACAAATGCCACAACTGTTGGCAGGTAGCAATGCCTGGAGAGCCTCAGAGTCCACCGACCTTAATGACATTTCACACCCACACCTAACTCGGAGCCTCAACTAACCTTGCACAACAGGAGTCACGATCCTCTTCTGCTGATAGGCAGCCATAATGCTGTTTGCAGTTGAATTGGGTCCCAGGACCTGTACGAAGAAGCAATACCCATGTTCCAACCTGCACAAAGCAAGGCTAAGAGAAGGGGTACCTACAAAGAAAACTCTGCTGTTAGTCTCCAAAAGCAGAAGCAGCTGGCTGCAGGAGACCTCAAAGTACAAACTGACAACAAATATGTGATCGAAGCCCAGTAATGTCTCAGAATAAGTTAACACAAGAGGCAGAAAGAACCGCTTTTGGACAGCTTCTCAGGACACAGAACCCTTCTCCCAGCGCTTACTTCTTCACAGCACTGTAAGCATCATGACTTGGCAGGACGTTCATTACAGTGCCAGCAATATTTAAAGTTCATTTGAGAGTCTCAGCTCCCTGTCACATAGAACAGTTTTAATCTGTCCTTAGAGTCTTGCTAATTTCTAGTGAGGGAGAAGATACTAGGGAATATCTTGTGTTCACCATGAATACTCAGAAACTACTTATCAGAGATAAAGACAAAGACTTTGGAAGGGAACCAAGTGCACTCCTCGTGAGTTCCTCATTCTGCATTAAGCTGAAGCTTAGAAGCCTGACATGACCCTTCTTTTTGCAATATATTCCTTATGATATTCTGGTTTAGACTAAATTGACCAGTTTGGTAGCTTTTCACTTCACACCACCAGGTTGGACAACCACCACTCCAGTACATAAAAGCTATGATAACACTTCACCCATCAGGCCTAAAAAACAAAACAGTGTTCCTATGTTCTGCAGATTACTTAAGATAGAGCTTATAAAGGCACCGCTAGGACAAGGTAACCCAAGCCTCATGAGACCGCATCATATCCAACGCGGCATTCAGTGCAAGGGACACAGCAGGCTATACCTGTTGTACACATCTAGTGTCCCGACTTGGCAGGTACTGCATAGGGTATCTGTTTGACCTCTTAACTAGTGATAGGACGAGGGGCAATGGCCTCAAATTGCATCAGGGGAGGTTTAGATTGGATATTAGTAAACATTTCTTTACTGAAAGAGTGGTCAGACATTGGAACAGGCTGCCCAGGGAAGTGGTGGAGACACCATCCCTGGAGGTGTTCAATAAATGTGTAGATGTGGCACTTCAGGACATGGTTTAGTAGGCATGGTGGTGGTGGGGTGACGGTTGGACTTGATGATCTTCAAGGTCTTTTCCAAACTATGATTCTATGAAAACAGATATGGAAAGCCAAGGAATTCCAGACTTTGCTGGAGAATGCAAAATACTGCTATTGTATAGCAGTCATGATAGGTATTATGGATGAGCACAGACCGGGTTGACAGAGCTGTGCTGCAGGTCTGGAGTCCATATTTCCGGGATCGAGGTCTCCATCAACTGCAAAACCTCTTCCAGGACTTGCTGCAGTGC